CATTTTCCCATGGCAGCTCAGCCGTTTTGGCCTCCAGGACCACAGCCTACGCATCCTGTCCCAAGGACGCTACACAGGCATTGTCACCACCAGATCTATCGCGGAGGCGGTCTTCACTTCACAATTGCTGCCAGAGATGAGGGCCCACAACCTGGACATCGACAACATCGCTGAATATTTGCACCAACAAGCAGATCAGTCCATTCCAAACAAAACCACAGAAGCCAAACAATTCATGCAACCACTTATTTCTCGCATCATTGACTTTCTACGAGGCCTTACACCACCAGCCGGCGAAGGCACAGCACTCCGAAAGCTCCAGCAACAGACAGATCGCTTACAACAACAAGAGAGCGAACTCCAGCGCGCTCGCGACAAGCTGAAGAATCATGGCATTGCACTCACACCAACCAAGCCAGGGTCACACTATACCCCATCATCCGCCACCCACACACCGCATCTCCCACTCCCAGCCCCTACCGCCATCACAACCACGACCATTCTCAATCCCACCACACAAACACTCCATGACAACTCACCAGCCAACTATGCAGCAGCTGGCATTCAGAAATGGCTCAAGACATTACCACCAGCCACTCAGACACAAGTCACCAACATCCAGCAGATTCTACGAGATGAACATATCACCAAAGAACAACTCCAAGAAGCAGCTACCCGCTACGGCATCCCGCTGGCTCGGGTCCTCAAGCTTCCCCCACGTTCACTACAGCAACTGGTCGCCGCGGGTTCGGCATTGGCAGCCTGACTCGTACAACAAGCGCTGCATCAACCAACACATCACACCCTACAATCTTTAACAACATTGCACACAGCACTATCACACTTTGTCCATTTCACCCCCTACATTGACAAGTCACACGCTATTTTTTCTGTCAGTCTTATTCACCTTACATGCCTCTTTGCCTTTCCTTCGCAAACACATCACTCTATACAATGGCGCTCCCGTTTCAACCAACTACAAGTTACACCACACACTTATCACTACCAAATGTTCACACATCCCAATGCGGTTTATGCCAAGCTCTTTTTCAACCAACATCACACAAGACACCAGTACCACCAACACGGACATACATACATCGGCTCTACCAGCATCACTATCCCCAAGCGAGAATACAATCGTCACGCAAAACTCAAACAATTACACAATAACCACCCCATTTCAGCTGAACTTTCTCTACGCTACTGGCACTCCAAGAACAACATCCACCACTACAGCACTATTTACCTTTCCCATCACGACACCTATGATCAAGCATGGACCTACGAACACCTGCGGATCCAAGAATGGCAACCTACACTCAATTGGCCCTATATCCAAAGACACCTCAAACTCAAAGCCTCAGGTTGGCAATTTTCAAAACATCGCACCACTTTCACACGGATGTCCACTCACAAACGTCTCTTCCAACGGCTCCGACGACGACAACACACCATCAAGCAACCCCACCTTCACACAAGTCAACGCCTACACGCCCTTACAGTTTTACGCGAGCTCAGCAAGCATACACTTTCATCCTTTCAAACATCAACAGCCATCCGCAGCGGCAAATACACTGATCTTGAAATTTACGCTTTCCGTCGAATGGCCGCCAGCTTAGAGGAACCAGATCGATCACGTGTTCTTCACCTTCTCCACTCAGCGCTCAGCTTTCGCAATCTCACTCCACCCAAAGCCAACAAACCCTTTACCATTCCTTTCCTCTCCCACAATACCTTCCCGTCTTCCACGGAAAAATGGCTTCGCACACTGATCCAACACCACATGCATCACGTCATTCCCTTCCACCCCCCTACTACCAAACTACGCGAAGCAGCACACAAGACTTTGCGCTCCCGGCTCTACAACCACAAACGTTGTGAAGAACTCTTCTCTACACATCCCACAGCCGCTGACATGCCATGCAGCTGCCACCACATGCATACCTTGCTTCGTCCCAACCACACACCGCCGCTCTACGATGGTCACTACGTACTTACACTTGAAGACCTACAGCTCCCCAGCCATCTTGAGCTATTCCTACAAGCCAACATGAACAGCACTTTCTTTCCCACAAAGACGCAATATTTCCAACACTTTGAACAACAACTCACTTACTGGCTACGACACCATGGTCTACCCACTGCCCTCCATCAACACAGCCTACCTTTTCTACACCAACAATGGAAACAGCACATCGACAATCTTCTATACACGCCCTGCTTTACCTCCCGCAACGTTACACAGCTTCAACAGTTTCTTACAGACAAGCTGGTACTCCATCATGCTGACCATGAACTACAAAACCTACGACTCTTTTGCCCACAGCACTACTTCCACGGATGTCTCACCACATGGAATACACCACAACTTTTTCTCCCACTACCAGATCTCACAGCCCAACAACTCCACCAATTTCTCACACAATCCTTCCCAGCCAGCATTCGCAAAGCATACCCCTGGGGCTTCCGCACAAAATTCTACACACCACATGGAGTAGTTTTCCTCAAACAAAAGAAATCCTGGCGAAAGGGTAGAACCGTCATCAGCTACTTCAGATCAATCGCAGGCACATTATTACGAGCCACCTCCAAAGCACTAGACATTATGCTCCTTCATCTTCTACCACAACATCCAGGCCAATTATCTATACCCAACCTTTGGCAACACCTCCACAACCATTTCCAGACCACACCCGAAGACATCCACCTCACACCGATCAACGACGACCTTGTCGGCTTCTTCAACAGCGTATCTCAACAACGCCTTGTCGACGCAGTCATCAGCCTGTGCAACCGCTGGAAAGCACAACACAACACCACTACCATCACCATCGATGTCCAGTCTACCGGCAATCCCATCCAACACTCACACATCGGTCGTCACTACATCCACCACCCACAACAACGCACACTTGACACACAACACATTCCTCTTATCGTTCAACAAGCCCTTCACTCATGCATTTTCCAAGCTTGCAACACCTACTACAAACAAATTCAAGGAGCCGGCATTGGCAGTCAGCTCTCACCAGCACTTTGCAATGTGGCAATCACGCTCATCGAACACACTTGGCAAACCACATACCACACCTTCTTACACCAACCAAGCCTTCACTTGCTCAACACTCGCTACGTCGACAACCGATACATCTTGCTCAACGAACAATACAGATCAGCACTCCCCATCACTACATTGGCCCATCCTGAATTTTATGAACAACCAGTTGAAATAGAGCCAGTGGACGACGACCATCTACTCGGTTTCTTGATTGACCCTCTCAACAGAACCGTCACCTTCCAACTCCCCACCCATTCCTGGCAGATTCGTGATCCGCAGTCAGCAGGGAGTCACAGACTACGCCTTTCAGGCTTACAATCACGCCACCACACACTACAAAAATACACTTACCCCAACCATCTCGCCCACACGACCGCACAGAAGTTGATGCAGCTATATATGGCCAAAGGCCATTCACCAGCACAATGCGCCGCGGCGCTGCGGCCAAGAGGAAAAAGACTATGTGCCGGCACTTTCGCAGACAGCTGTGATATGTATTTTACAGTATTGAACCTTTCAATGTCAAGCACTTCCACTATTTATTATCCAGGCCTTACCTGATCCGATCTAGTTGCGCCGATACGGCTCAGTGTGTGTGTCCACTCCTGTTTCCAAGGACACTACCCTAGTTTTTCTAATCTACCCTACAAGCTTTTCTGTACAGACGCAGGGGGCGACAGAGTCGCTGCATGGCTGTCGCCAACGAAGCTCCATGCAGTTGACTAGGATATCACGGCTGATCACCGTGACGTACCTGCAATTTTAATACTAATTTTGATTTTCAATCGCTGAGATTTCTAAGTCAGTGCAACGCTGTCTCATACGTTGTTTCCTGCAGTATCTAGATTTAAAGGGCTAATGCACACCGCGAAGCTACCTGAAATCACGCTCCACGGAGCAACCTTCTCAAGTGTGTGTGGTCATGTGGTGTGGTTTATATATGTGGTGTTCTATATATATATATATCTATACTTATATAGAGGTATTCCAGAATGTTGGACCCATGTTTGACTGCAGGATTACTACAAGTCAGAAGGCTTGTGCCAACGGATTGCTCGTAGCACTTGGTTTGAGAACTTCACTCTCTTCATCATCGGGGCCTGGGGCCTCAAGGGGCCAACGCGATCGTGCGGAAGCGGAAGCGGGGGGGTGTGATGGGTGGCCTGACAGAAGTGAGAAGGTGAACTGATATGCCCGGATATGCCGGCTGGTTGGTCGTCCTCGGTGGTGGAGATATGCAGGACGGTCACAGACTGGCACAGGGCTGCAGGGCAGGCTTTGCCCGCCTGGGCTTGTCTGGAGTCTCTCAAGGGGAACCCGCTTTCATGCTTAAAGAACACCCGTCGGTTCGGGGGCGAGCGCCGGGCCAAAAGGACCCAGTGGACCGCCGTTGAAGCCCAGGTCAATTCCATTTGGATCCTTGGCACGGCGCCCGCGGCGAATGCGTGCCCAATCCCCCCTGCGGAGGTTGAAGCCGTGGGCGCCGGGAGCGGAGCGATTCGATGTCTTAAGGGAAGATGTGTGCGCGAGGTTGGAGAAGTGGCAAGTAGACGGTTTGGTTTGCGGAAATCTGTGCAAATTGATAGCATCCAGTTCGATTCCATATTGGCATCAAGTTTGGAGGCACTACATGATGTGACAGATGTGGTCCAGGCACAAACTGTTGAAATGATTCAATGACATGGCTCATGTTTTGTCGTGATGAAGGTTCCCAGAACGATAGTAACAACAACAAGACGATATCCCAGGTCATGTGCATCCTATCTATATATTAGAATTTATGGTGGTTCTCATCTGAAAGTTTCGAGTTGGAGTGATACCCCCTGTTAACTCTACTTTGCTGGTCAGACCACCTGAAGTGAGTGACCAGAGCTCGCGGGACTGGTTCATGGAAGAAGCACGTGAGCTCCAGCACGTGAGTCTTCTGAGCACAACCGTGATGAGGATCGCAGTGGACACCGACAACAACCGCGATGCGTCTCTCGGCGGGTTCAGACAATTCCACAAATTGCATCGGGTGTTCTTCCTAGACCCAACCAACAGGAGACCCTTCATCACAAAAGCAAAGCATATTGACGGGCTCTAATGCGGGGATCCACTTACAGTAACATCAATAAACGAAAGGAATCGGGATTCCGGCTTTTACCCCCCTGTCTTCCACAACGACACCTGCGGCTGCCATGACCATGCTTCACCTGGCTTTGTTTTTGTCATAGTTTTGATCAGGCTTGAGGATCCCTGTTCAGACCTACAGCCTAGGTTGCCTAGGAGGCCTCAGGTGTTCTTTTTTTTCATCCTTCTCCTTCTTGTTGCCTCTTGGAACTCGCGGCCGTCGCGGAGAATGTACCTGATGTGGCAAAATGACGTCGGAGAGTAGCGCAAACTATGGCGTTGGTTGGTTTGTGACTCCAGTCCGTGGTGGATTATAGTGGAACAAGGGGAGTGGTTGGTTACCCTCCTGCACTGCAAAATAACCGGTGGAGAGATCTTGAAGTCACACATCTGAAACCAGTTGACATATTGAGATGACCATGGGACTGAGCTGAACAACCTCCGCTTTCTGCACCCCATATCCCCAAGCTGAGCCCTCACCGGCCTCGCGACCCTCCCAGCTGTCGCCCAGGACGATCATCACCAAGGCGCCCTGGGAATTCCAAGTGGCTCCTGGGCCGAAGCGGTGGGACTGTGGCCGCGTGAGTTGATCGTGGCGTTCGTGCGTACGAGCTGATCGTGCGTGTGAGAAACGGACATGCAAACATTGATAGGTGGGTGTAGGAGGGCCAGGACATCGTGTGGCGAAAGCAGCGAAAACAAGCTGCGTGTGAGGAAATGCGCAATTTTCGATTTGTGAAGGGTTTGGGTTGAATGGTTGGAGATGGGCTGAGGCCTGGCCTTGGAGAGTCGTTTTCCTTCCTGACTAGAGTCGTGCACTTCACCATGTTCACCCATTTTTAGCCATGGTTGCCTTCCGAGGTCCTTTTTGTTGGGTGGACAGGTGGCAACCCAGTTTGATGGCATTGAACCCAGAAGGGCCAGTTGAAATGAATGCCAGCGGAATCAGAGAGCTACTACTTGCTACTTTGCGAATGGTCCGCGTCGCCATGTCTAACACCCCATCCACCTTTCCAAGGCGTTGCCGCCCGTACTGACACAGGCGACCGCTCTAGCAGAATGGGGAGCGCTCTAGGCGATGGGACTCGATCAACCCCCCCAGCGGTGAAACCACCGCGGTTTCCAAAGGTCGTCCTGGCAGAATGGGTGGCTGCTTCACTGTTCATTGATTGATCACTAACCCAGACGCTCCATGTATGCCATAATATGCCTACATTGGGGTGGTTTGGGGGGTCAATGTGGGCATATAATGGCATATATTCCATACATGGAGTGTATGGGTAATCGATGATTCAATGTGCTATTTCCCAGGCTCGTTGGAACTGGCGCCATGTTGGTCCCGAACGAAACAGGCCCACAAAACCAGCTAAACTCGCACCAAAGCTCGTCTTCAAACGTGCGTGGATAGGGTTATAGTCAAATATAGTGGTGGTTCTAAGAGTAGACGCCCAAAAATCATCAAGGTGATTCAGATGGCCGCCCATCTAGAAAGACACCTGGCTTTGTGCCATCTGCGCCACCAGTGTCACTTGCAGCCTGGGCGGGTCCGGCCCTTTTTATGGCCATGCCATGTGCCTTGCCCTAAACAAGTCACGCCACGTCGGGGATCTCAGGCGGAGAACCTCTTTTGCACCTTCTTTACTCTGGAGTGGCTGGTGCGATTGCGCCTCGCTTCTCGTGGTCGGGGGTGAAACGAAGAGAAGGAGACCGCCGAGGGAGGGGAGAATGTGGGGAGCCCGCGGGCTGTGCGCTCGCGGGCGTGGATGGGAGGGAAAGGTGAGCATCAGAGCCTGAAGGCTCACCACGTTCCACCTGTCAGGACCTGGAAAGAGCCAGGATGGCACACCCAGACACACATCCTGGACGCCAAGGCTTCCAAGTGTGGTTTCTACATGTCCGAAACATGTCCATGAGCCACATTTGTTTGAGCATTTCTGCACAAGGCTCCATATGTAACATGAAGCATTCATGCCACTGGTCGCCGTGCCACATGACCAACAACACCTCCCAAAGACCGCCCACCACGATGGACACTTCCGTTGCATGGACCGCCCACCGCGGTGTGTCCGTTGCACCACCGAGGTTCGCGTTCCGGCGGAAGATCATGGCTCTCACCGATGCATGGCTCCTTGGTTCGGTCTCGCTGCCGTGCCCCGTCCGTGCCGTGCCGGTGCGGTTCCACCGTGCTTCGGAGCGGTTTTCCACCGGTGGACACCGGGGGAAACCGTTCCACCGTGATGGTCAGAGCTGGTGAGAGAGTCATTTTTTTGGAAATGGCGACCGTGTTTTGCAGAGTGGCTGGCACAATACCTAAGTTATCCTAAGTCAGTTGGTTGGTTTAGTATCCCTACTGTACCCGGTTTGGAGGGTTATGGCTTAACACTCACTGTAAACACTGCTACTGCGGCCTTTCTAGTTTTTTCTTTGTCTTCCCAAGTATCAGCTAGGAAAAGAAGTGGAGTGTCAGTTGCTGTGATTCAAGTTTGTACTATATATTATATACTGTACATGGAACTCCGTGCAGGACATCTTAGGGGCCTATGCCATCCACTCTGAACCAATCTAGTCCCTGTCTTGAGGTAGACAACATGGCAAGTCATGATGGAACATGTACTGTAAATGGAGTGAGATAGCGATGGAAACAACGGAGAGCACATGGAGAGCGTTTCGTTTGCGTTACAACGGCTGAGGGAGCGAAGTTTCCATCTCCATGATCACCACTTATATGCCAGTATGTGCGCAGGTGCACGCCCGTGAAGAATGACACCGAAAGACATGATGTCCAGCACCAGGCGTGTTTTCACAAGGAATCCTCCTGCTCCATAAGCCCAAAAGCAGAATGCCACTGTGCAAAGAGCAATGAAGCAACAAACGTAAGAGATCTGGAAAGCAACACCATGAACATTAAAGCATGTTACATATATATATATATAAATGTAATATTCACGTATCAAAGAAGAGCAAACAAGAACACACACACACACACCAAACAAAGCAACCAACAAGTTTCACAAAAGACACAAACACATCAAACTTAGAGCGGAACACTACCATGCCGACTATTCCTGGAAAAAGAGTCCAACACACAAAACAACCAAAAGAACACCTCCAGCGTGTTCATTAGCCAGTCGCATTCTGGTCTTAGACGGCTAAGCATCCTCACCAGCAGCACCTATCGGCTGAGGTTTGTCCTGGACACCTTGCTGGTGTCCTTGATGATCGTAGAGACATGGATTACGACACTTGGCCAAGTGAAATGTCCGGTCAACTTTCTGAATTGAATTGATCGGTGCACGGATGGTTTTGGCGTGCACGAGCACGAGTAATTGGCAGCACCAGCACCTCCAAGGACTTTCAACTGGCATAAGAGAAGACTGTCAAGCGTTCAACCATGAAGCACCGCTTTCATATCGCTCAGCAAGAAGCTAAGGAGCCGGGGGTATCCATATTTCCCACAAAACAGAGAGCCGTTCGAGCTACAGGCACTTCCGGCTTCCCCAACCCTTTGCTAGATTGTGTAGCTAGTAGAGGGTCAGCCCCCAGTTCACATCCCCCAGCCCCCCAGGGGCTGACCCTCTCTAGCTTGTGTATGGTTGTATCATGGGCCGACCAGTGGACTGGTTCGGTCTCGAGAGCGGCGTTTTTGAGCAGCGGCTGCGGGGAGTCCCCCCCCGCAAGGGGCTAGAAGTGGTGCAAAGGATGGAGCCAGCTGTAACCATCCTTAGAAGGTATGACCCTTCGACACCTCAGATCATCCGGATTTCACAGAAGTAAGCGGAGGATCTTCGGTCGGACGGCCACAGATGACGACAGATGATGACAGATGTGTCTCGCAGCAGCCTAAACTTGCTTGGACGAACTTGACCTGGAGATATGTTGATATATTTGGGCCCAAAGAGCCGGTACGTTACATTACCGCGCCCTTCATCAAGCGAGTGGCCGGTGCCCTTGGCAACTTGGTCATCAAGCGTCGCCACCAAGGCCCTTAGTGCTCGAACTCTTGCAGATAGACAGCCCGGCACCTAGGACAGGGCAGATCTCGGCAGCCTTGAGCAGTTTTGCAAGTATTTGGCGGCTTGGTTCTTGTATAAATGCTTTAATCGTCACAAACATAAGGAACCAAGAACCAAGCCGTACAGAACATGAGCAGACTACACTTTTAGACCATCTTCATCAGGCCCTACACGGCTCGGTCATGAGTCCCATAAGAGTAGCTGAGTCGCTGTAGGCGATGTCCAGTCCCATGCACCTTAGGCGATGGCATGGGGGACGCTACGATCCTGCGGCTGGTTCGACTGCTTCGCTTAGCTCGTATGACCCGAGTGGCCAAGCTGCTGAGAGCCTTTCCGGAGGTGCTCATCATGATTAAAGGCCGCGGAGAACGAACACTTGAAGGGAAGTTTGCTTGGACCACGTGGAATGCAATAAAGCTCCTTGAATCATCATGGAAGTGGAAAGCCAAGGCATTTTCCACTTCAATGATGATTCGTGTGATTTCTGGTATAAGACAGGCACATCCAATTCAGAAATTCCAGTGGCAAGGTCGGGTTCTCATAGATATGGATGGGTACTGTAGGAGTCTCACTTAGTTTCACCCCAAGAGCCAAGCAATGAAGAATCTGCAATGTAACCACTCTGGTTTGCTCATGCTTGTCCTTGGAGTTGACTCTCACTTTGTCCGACGTCACAACTAGTGGGTTGGCCTGACACTGAGGCCAAGTACTTGAATAATCCACCTGACATCGCCTAGTGCACTTAAGGTCTACCATACAATTGTTCGACCAATGCAGTCCCACTTGAACCGTGCTTGCAATCCCAACAGGAATTCTGGCAGGATATTAGGGTATATTAAGATGATGCAAACCCGTTATGGATGCTGCAATGACCAAATTCCTTGGGATAGCGATATGCCCCATCGATGCCTTTTTCTGCCGCACCTGTAGTTACAAGAGCGCCATTTCGCATGTCATTATTTTCTTAATACAAAGGGAGCCCGTATGCAGCTACCAAGGGTAAATGTTTCTGACCTTTCTCACTTTTCCATACTTTTCTTGTTCCTCGAAGAACCTCACCTACAGAAAAATTGAAGCAACAATGAAAGACATAGCTGCATACACATGTTGATAGTGTTGAAATGTTTGGACCCTCCTGCATTTGCCGCATTTTCCTTTGTGAGGCATCAGTGCAGCGAGTCGATCGGTGATGTTTACCATTTGTTTGCTCATCTTAGCTCCTCAGCTGCAGAGCGCCCATGAGCACCGTCGAAAAGGAATGAATCAAGCGGAAGGGGGCTGCCCCCCGCAAGCTCCAGGCAATATCCTTAAGGTTCTCCCCCTCCTTAAGGCTTCATTGCCTTGACAAAGAACAACGATTTGCTGATCTAAATCCAAAGGACATATAATGAATTATAATGATATATATATATATATGTTTGTTTTGCATTAAAAAGCTACTTATTATCCCGGCAAGAGACCCCAAAAAGTGTGTGTGAGGTCTATAAGCAGAAAGTCTAGAGATCTAGACGCACTGGGGTCCAGAGGGGTGATGGTGGTGATGAAGGTGGGGATCGTGGTGACGGTGGCGGTGGTGGTGAGTGAGTGAGTGAGAGTGAGAGGCAGAGTGAGAGTGAGAGTGGGAGAGTGAGTGAGAGTGAGAGTGGGAGAGTGAGTGAGTGTGAGAGTGAGAGTGAGAGTGAGTGTGAGCGTGAGTGTGAGTGTGAGTGAGTGTGTGAGTGAGAGTGAGTGTGAATGAGAGTGAGTGCGGATGAGAGTGAGTGAGAGTGAGAGTGTGAGGGAGTGTGAGTGAGAGTGAGTGTGAGTGAGAGTGAAGGTGGGTGAGTGAGAGTGGGAGAGTGAGCGTGAATGAGAGTGGGAGAGTGAGTGTGAATGAGAGTGAGGGAGTGTGAGTGAGTGTGAGGGAGTGTGAGTGTGAGTGAGTGTGTGAGTGAGAGTGCGAGTGAGTGTGAGAGTGAGTGTGGATGAGAGTGAGAGTGAGTGAGTGTGAGTGCGAGTGACAGTGAGTGTGAGTGTGGATGAGAGTGAGAGTGAGTGAGTGAGTGAGTGAGTGAATGAGTGAGTGAGTGAGTGAGTGTGAGTGCGAGTGACAGTGAGTGTGAGTGTGCATTGAATGTGAATGTGAGTGAGTGTGAGTGAAGAGTGAGAGAGTGAGCATTTGAGAGCAAAGTGCTGCGCCTGCACCGAAATCTGCACTTCGAGGTTCACAAAGTACTACGCCTGCCACGAAATCTGCACTTGGAGGTTCTCCAAGTGCTGCACCTGCTACGAAATCTGCACTTCGAGGTTCACCAAGTGCTGTGCCTGCTACGAAAGCTGCACTTCGAGGTTCGCCAAGTGCTGTACCTGCCACGAAATCTGCACTTCGAGGTTCACCAAGTTCTGTGCCTGCCACGAAATCTGCACTTCGAGGTTCACCAAGTGCAGTGCCTGCCACGAAATGCACTTCGAGGTTCACCAAGTGCTGTACCTGCCACGAAATCTGCACTTCGAGGTTCACCAAGTGCTGCGCCTGCCACGAAATCTGCACTTTGAGGTTCACAAAGTGTTGTACCTGCCACGAATCTGCACTTCGAGGTTCACCAAGTGCTGTGCCTGCCACGAAAAGTCGACTTTGGAGCACCAAAACACGAGGTTTCCCTTGCGCCTGCCACGAAAAGTGACCACCATGTGCGAAGATGCGCGCAGCACCACAACGAGAGCGCAGTCGCTAGAAGCACCCGCCGGGGGCAGGCAGATTTTGTGAGCCTGCGCAATCGAAATGCACATTGACGATGTCGAGAGGCATGAATGCACTGTAAATAGCAGCGAATTAGCCGCACACGCCCGCGCGCTTCAGCGATCTAAGCATCAGTTGCTTAACACCTAAGTAAGAACCCCTAGTGTGTCCACACTGTTTTGTGGAATTTACTGTATGTTGACCAGTCCGAATCATAGATTATTGTTATTGAATGTTGTTGATCCATTCCATGAATGAAGAAGCTCCCAAGGTACTTTATGTCTTTGGCATCGCCTTCACCCAGATTTGCGATGGAACCTCGGGTCAAATTAAGTCTCACGGGCTGATGTGCCTTTACTTAATCCTGCCAAACATCTCACCTACACAAAGTCTTCTCCTAACTCGTTCAAGATCGGAATCAAACCGTTTAAAATTGTTTCACTCTTTGCACGCATCTGGTGCCATGACTTGCTTCGGTTGGCAGTGTGATGAGCAAGAACCCCGGTGTCACATAATCCCTCGTTATTTGATTATGTGTCCAGTCTTTGCTCTCAGCGTGCATTTCTAAGATGCACCCCAGGATGTAACGAACCAAAGTTTCCCTGACTATCCCGGAGGTTAGTTGTTGTCGTTGTCAATTTAGGTTCCGGGGGTTCTCAAAAGTCAGAGAGGGATGATGACCGTTCCCTGTCATGCCTCGAAAGTTTTCCGGAATCGTAGGTATGGTCAGACTCCGAGGCCTGCCTATAGGAGGCACCTCATTTCGTTCCGTCCCGGAGTCGATGTTGACTCTGCTGATCCACGGAGTGCTCCTTGGTGGAACATGTGAATCGAGAAGCTCGATTCAAAGAGATGGAGACGGGGACGCCATTTGGTAGAACTGGAGGGGTCACAAGTAGGTAGTAGTGGACAGACATTGTTGTTCCGAAGTTTCAGGTAGTTCTGCAGTTCAAGTCCATGTATATAATAAGTAATTCTTGCTGACGCTGTAATGGAAGGATAAAGATGAGGATTGGTATTGCTACGTACTTGTAAATCAGTCCACCAAGAGCCAGCTATCCCTACAAACCGGATTCATGAACGGTTTTCTGATAGTTTTTGTGCTTTCTGGTAGGGCCATAGGCCTGTTTTTGCGTAACTTAATTATTGATTCTACCGATACATATCAACGTTGTCAACGTCCAAGTTAGCAGTTAGCATTTCACGACGGAGGTTGTTGGTGGTGATTTGGCGGTGGCGTGGCAATGCCAACGTCTCTGTTGTCATGCGTTAAGGTTCATGGATGATATGGCAGAACTGCGCCAGCCTCAGCTGATGAATCAACAGACACACCAACCACGAACTACACAGCACGGACATGGCCTACAGGCAAACCCATTCAAATAGCAGACCGGCTGGTAGATGGTCTAGCAAAATTCATGTTCGTAGTGCCCACCGTCATTCGCCTATTTGTTGGGAGATTGGTGTTTGTTTGGGTTTGTCAGCATGTGGAGGTTTGTGTTTGATTCTGTGTCAACAGAGCGGCACCAAGTGTGCACATAACTTTCACAGGCAACAAAGTTCTTGGCCTTTGCACGCTTCCAGGCACATTAGTGGACACTTTGCCGCCCAGATTCAAACCCATTGTATAAATATCATGGATTTTACTCTCCGAGTCATGAACCACCTGTTTGTAGCGACGCATGGTGATTTCGGGGACCACTTCCATGTGATTCTTTCAGGCAGTGACGTTGGTGTGGGCTACAAGGCTCAGATCATCAACCTAGAAGCCTGTGCAGTTTCCATCCAAGGTCACCTTTCATAAGTTTATAAGTAGGGCACCTTGGTACTCATCGCCATTGCAGAAACATCGCTTGGTGGACGGTGATCACTTCAGCGCATTTGGATTGCATTTGGGACATGGCGAGTCAAAACCTTCCCCACCAATCCATGATCTAGACCACGGGGCGGTAAGGGGCCGGCGATCGTGTCCGCAAGCAAAACCTTCCCCACCAATCTATGGTAGGTTGACATCCCATAGAGGAATCTGTGCATTTTCAGGGTCAAGCAGGTTTCCGGTGTCGAACACCCACAGCCACATCTCGAGGGTGGCCTTGATCCGAGCGGACAGCTGGGCTGCTTTCGTGATGTCGGGGGACGCAGTGGAAAAGGGGGCGCAGCTGGTCAAGAGCACCAATTTTCCCCTGGCGACGCGCGGTGTTTGTGTTTAATCTATACCATATAGATGTCGCCTGTTCAGTCCGGTGTGTTCGGAGATGTTTTGCCAACAAAAATAATACTGTATACCGGGTGTTTATATAGCCCCCTTAGCTGTTAAGTGCTGTCCATTAACCACCCCTTGGGAGTCCTGGTGTGCATGCATGTCAGTTATTATATTGAACACAGTGGTTGGGCCAAAGGGACAAATGGCCGAAGGATGCCAAAGGAATCTAGGTCCAAAGAAGGCTTGCCATCAATGAACTCAAAGGTTTATGCCTTCGACATGCTGTCAGCAGGGCTGAGTAAAGCCTAGATTTCCCACATGGGTGCGGCGATTTGGATCTTGAACCCGGGCGCAGCGGCGCATGGCCCGAAAGATTTGCAGGGAGATATAACTGATGTTTGCGTGTTTTTGACGATGCTTGAGTCGGACTCGGCAGCCTTTTTAAGCAATCCCAATTATTGAACTTCGGTCACATCATGTACAGTCCCAAGTGGTCAACCTCGACACCTCCCAGCCGGCGAGGTTTATCATCTTCGTCCTGATCGCCTGGGCCTCAAAAAGGACAGGACTTGATCAACTGGTGTTGCTTGGACAGGCCGGTATGGGCCCATTAGGATCGGGTTCTTGGGCATGGACATGCATGGATCGGACTCATATTATATGGGTGACCCCCTGGAAGCTTCGGAACACGACACCGCTTTGGGTGCCCAAGGCGTCGATCACGCTGATGAACATGCTCATCGGCCTCTTGTGCAGAAGAGTCGCCCCTGGTTTTTCTCCTTTCAACTCTCACCAGGTGGCTTACATAGCATAGCATCTTATAGTATAGTTGGATAGAGCTCGTAAGACAACATGCTTTCAAGAAACATTGGCAGCATTTGCGTAGAACCTTCTACCACCGTTGTCCAGCGTTTTCCGATCAAAAAAAACACACCAGAACCCTAGGCCTAGGCTTCTCCCATCCGTTGGGCCAAGCACCTCCAGTCATCACTTCATCGTTCGTCCTCACCGAGGAGTGCTGTGTGAGGTGGTCTCCATGGTCGGACAATCCGAGCGCGAAGAACTCCTCGTGGAGCTGGTGAAGCGGGAGCTTTTGGCACCCTGGCCGACTGGTCGACCTGAGGTCCCCGACTCCTTCTTTTGAGATACCCTGAGGTCCCCGCGGGTCAGACCATTCAGACATATTCGGACCATTCGGACCACAGATGTTTTGGATCGGTGGATTTGGGAGGAACACTGAGAAGACTAATAGTGGGGCAGACATGAGCGGCAAGCAATCGATTTGCTTGAGACATGAGGTGATGTTAGGAATATGGCGGAGGAGAGTTCAGACCGCAAGAGCATGGTGTTAGTCAGTCTATGTCAGTCTTATATATACATTATATACATTATATATAGTTGTTGAGTTCGGATCTCTATGCTCCGAATTGTTTGTTTGCCAAGACGGTAGACACATATACTGTAGAAACCAGGAGTCACAAAGGGGTGCTTAATGGAGGTTAGGGGTGCCCATTATCCACTCACTCAAACTTAGGGACCAAAAACCACCCCTTTGTGACTCTTGGGCTATGATAGAAACATTTAGACATGTGCTTTTGTTCTATTTGACGGCTGCTTCTCACCAGCACCGGTTCCAGTGTGTCCCCTCAAACTGTGAAGCATCGTGAAGCTGGTTGGCTAAACCAGCGCCACGGTTGATTCCGCGCGTTCCGTTGATCCTCTCTCCAGCAGTCATATATGGAAGTTCACTATGAGACTATGAGCCACGGGAAGTCGACGTTCTCTACAAATGACAAATATCATCCTTCCGATCCCTTCCGTGGGTTTCCAGATCTGTCAGATGGTGCGGCCCTTTTCGCTCAGGATATCATTATCGAGGCTGACGAGGCAAGGTAAACCATGCTCAAGGGACTTGATTGGCAAAGGTTGAAGAAGCTTTGGGATCTTTGGGCCCCATTGGCCCTGCACAGTGGCACAAGAGACATGCGTCTCAGTTGTGACATGAAGCCAGTTACGTTTGGCAGACCTGCATTGCAATGCTAGGATGGCGACGGCCTTATGTCGCATGCAGAATTCTTGAAGAGACTTGAATGCACCAGTAAAGGTTTAGCAAGAGAGTTGACCCAACGTTCTGGCATGACAGCTGAATAACCAGGCCCCGCAAGCTCACAAACGCTTTTTGCGAAAGAGATTCTAGAAAGTACTGGCTGCGACTGCGAAAGGCTTGGGAAAAACATCCATTACGTCCATGCACCAAAGCAACCGTTTCAAGACAAGTGTGTGCAAATGCTAAAACAGTTTTCGAGCAAGCAAGGCAAAAGGATGTGCATGCGACAATATGAATATAAAGACGTACTGTAATACTTTTAGGAAGTAGTTTTTAGCATGGCGAACCTCGCTTTGGTAGATGACCATTCAAAACCAGCCGCGCGGATCGAATCTTGGTCCCAAGGATTTTGGAAAGCCCAGAAGGTCTTCGAGCTTTAGAGACAGCACCTCGCAGTGAACCATCGCAGAATTTGTGGAGTGTTGTGTGGAATCAGACGGGCGAGGTTTGTTAGATCTAAGCAATTGATTCAGGTGGCAGTGTAAGACACGACAACTTTCTACTGGGATCCATTTTGCTACTACTGTATCGAGGGTTTGTCAAACTCCGGCAGATCTTTTTCTTTTCGGTTGAGAAGTTGAGATGGCTGTGCTCCGAACGGTCTGCAGGTGCATGTGGACGCATTGTATCGGATTGTTGCTTAGAAAAGGCAAACATCGGTTGCAACCCACTCTCCAGTTTTCGCACGTTCCTCCTACCACACACCTTCACACTCGTGCGACCGGCGGCGGTGGTCGGTGCCGAGGTGGGTGTTGATCCTGTGGGCCTCATCGACTATGCCGACACCATCTTCACCAAGGTGCGCCGTGTTGGGGCATCCCGTCACGCGGGCGCCTTACGGGCGCCCTACGGGCCGCGCGACACTGCGCTGAGAAGGTGGGGCGCAGTGGGTTGAAGCTTGGCCAGAACCTGCTGGTTTATGCTGAAGTGGGTAGACTGACGAGGACTCTTGGCCAAGCAAATGTCCGAGACTACGTTTGTTAACCCCATGGCCCCCCTCAGGGAAGAGCCATAGACCAGCCATCAGCCAATCGATTCTCTAAGGGGACAGCTTTGCAGATGGTTTGCATCGGATAAGTGAGACAAACAGAGTTTGTGATCCAAGGTCACTGATTCCCGCCACATTTTGGAGAGCTTTAATGCGCGATACTAGCTGCGATAGGTCTTCCTGAGCTGAGCAGGCTGAGCTGAGGTTTTAGCCCTTTGCAACTTTTGGCATGCTAGTTTCACACGCACAAGCTTTGGTTGGAAGGTTACTGTAGTTGCCCCTTGGACCCTCAAACCAGCTTTCCCTCGCACACGCGCGGAAGTGGGCAGATGTCCCAATCGCCAGGAAGATGGCGATTTGAGTGAGACTGTTATGCCCCTTGGCGAGTTACGATTGCTGCTGCACGATTTCAGTCCTTGAAGATAGCTTTGATGTGAAGGTGTGTTTGGTCCGGTCGGATTACTTTAGGGATGAGGCAGTGGGAGGAGACTGCAATTTAGCCCCTTGTTGCGATGAAGAAGCATGCCGAGGGTTGTATACTAGCCAGGTATGTTAGCCGCAAAAGCATGTCCAGCCCCAGCCACGCACTCCATCTCCAGATCTGGCAGTGGGTCAAAACTCACAACTTTGGGACCCTGGTTGACCCCGGCTCCAACGAACAGATGTTCTCGTTCTCAGGGCATGTCAACCTCCAGATTGGCCGGTCTGGACTCCGAAGAAAACACCCCAAATCCACAGACTGCCGCTCCATCCGCTCCATGCTCCGCACCGGCTCACACCGGACCCGCCACACCGCCAGCGCCTTCGCGCAGGTTCTCCCACTTCATGAATGAAGTCCTGCAACTCCGTGGCTCCAACACCGCCACCGTCAAGGCCTGCGCGCGGGCCGCGCGGGTCAGGGCACGGCCTGGCGGGGGGGTGAGAGAACAAAGGAGCAGCAATAGACGAAGGAGGGACGTCCACCCGGGGGGCCCTGACCCACAGCCATAGACATCTTCCAAAAAGCGTGGAGGTGGACAATGATCATGTGAGAGGATGATATGAGGTCTCATGCACCTTTATTTTTGGGGCCCCAGAAGAGAGAAACGATGTGGTCCAATTCCTTTGGTGGGTCACGCGTCGCCAGACTAGACGTTATTCCGTTATTCTGAAGTGAGTGGGGGCCCAGCAATAATTTGCGAACCAAGTTGGAACTCAGTTGAAGGCGCATGTCTTGCTTGGAGATCCCGCATGGCGTGGGAGAGAAAAAAGCCCAGGACCTTATTGCCATGCGGAAGTTCGTGGAAAAGGGCAACAAGGAGAGGATTCCTTGGGCGACCCTTGGGGGAGCACGGGGGAGCGACCCTTGGGAGCAGCCAGTGTGGGGTTCCTTCGACCCGATCGATCGGGTCAAAGGACGTGTGACGTCCCTACCGGTGGCTGTGAGGAACAGCAGGTTGCCTGGGGCAATTGTTAAGTTTGTTGATTCAAATGTTTATAATGTGTTATATACAGTACATATACCGTACATATACCCTAGGTTTCTACTACATAGTTTAACTACTACTGCGTGATTGGGCAGCTGCGAAGCTGAGATTATAGTAGGGTGTACAGAGTGGCTACTGTTCCATCAGATTGAACTGTTTTGAACAATTGTGATCTCATGACTGTTTTGAAGTGCGTCACCAAAAGCAACAACTCATCATCCGGGCCTGCATGGACAAGCGTGTCAGATCTCATCGTTTGGGCGCGGCATATCCTTAATCCAGCTCAGCTCACGATGCTCATCATTCAATATTCAAAGCAAATCCAACTCCTTGGCAACTCAACACCCAAAAGCCAACGCCCTCTCCAACCATTTTCACCAGCAATCCAGACAACCTCTTTGGGAACAAACCGCGCACATCGAACGTAACCCAGCACCAACACGCTAGACCGACTGAGCGCCGGCTCCGCGCAGGAAGTGCGGAAGGACCTGAGCGCCGTGACAGAAAAGCTCCACCAGCTGGCAGAGGTCGTTCAGGACGGGAGTACAGCGGGCGACATTTGCATGCGCGCAAGGGGTGTTGCAGGGTATGAAACGGCTCTGGATTATTTGACTGAAGTGGCGGTTTTGGAAGGGTTTGAAACCCGAAGCACCAGATGAAGGCACACGTGTGTGGCTGTTTTCAGTCCTCATGTTCCTGACCATTCCTGACCTCAGGAAATCAAGAGCCCCACGGAGGGGAAGCTCGTGGAAGGCAGTGTGCCCGAAGCGGCCACGCCTACTGCCACGCCCTTGCGGGGTCTTGCAGCAGAGGCAGTGTCGAAAGTGCCAGAGCTCCACGTGCCACCAGAGCTTGTGGTGGTGCAGCAGCGGGGTCGCAGCTAGCGTTAGTGCTGGGTGTTGGCGGCTGGCGAGGGGATAAGCAGGAGCGAGAGTGGCCATCACTTGTTGACTGTTTTTGGTTGTATTTGATTGTCTTTGTTTGTTTGTTTTGGTTTGGTTTCTCTGGGGATTTTGAATCAAATGCTTGGGCTGTGGGGAGACCGGCCGAGACTGTCCAGGCTTTCAGTGTGGGGGAAGATCGGGCAAGGTTGTAAAGTCCTTCCATAGATTTCCATGTCCATGTACTTGATGTCCATCTAATTGATTTATATAATATACTGATTTACTTAATTTTTGAATATTAATATATTGATTTCCATACGCTGTTGTGGCATATAGTAGATTTCCCCATTCTACCAACATCTTTACATCCATCAGTGACAAAAGGACCCGAAAAAGCATGCGTTTCCACAGGAACGTCAGCGATCAGGGAGCGAATGAGATGCCAATGAGTCCGTGAAAGAGAGGGAGAGAGAAAGGTGTAGCAGACCTGACCTCGGCCAAAACATCATGATCAGGAAAGGTTTGAACATTTGCACCAACTGCCCCAATCCTTGAACCCTAGGATATCCGGCTTCAACGACCGTTGCCGGGTCTCAGTACCTCTCCTTCAGCCTTTGAGGCCCCGGGACAGGGATGCCTCGCCCGTGCCCTTGCGCGCGCACATGCGCGCGAACCCGGCCGCCAAAGAGCCATCCTTCCGAAAGACCACTTCGACTCTCGGTGGGAAGAAGGTGATTGATCATTGATATCGCCTGATATCACTCTGTGGAACTGGCATTCTTGTTTCCGTCCAACAGCAGTATACAGCGGTGTAACAGTGTCCCTCTAGGAATTCGACGGAGAAACCAAGATAAACATTGCAGAAATCAATATTCATCCTATGCTAGGGCGAAGCTCAATTGAACAAGGCATGTGATGTTCACCTCCATTCCTCAGCACATGGTGGATCGGCTGAGAAGTTGAGAAGTCGAGCCGCGGGGTGCCGTCAGTCTGCATGGGGTGCCGTCACTTTGCTTTGGCTTTGGGAGTTGTTAGGATTGAAGCCATCCTTACCATATCCCGGCAGATTTGCCACTGTAGCAATCATTGGTTGCAAAGGACTCGAACTTTAGAGCTATAGAGTTAGAGGCCCTTCATTCCACAAAGCAGCAGTGGGGATCCCAGTGTTGGTCATGACGGCGGCATGCCCTGCACTAAATAATCAAGACCTTCACATCCAAGAAGTCCTTCTTAGCAAGCGGATTAATCATAGTGAAGTTAACAGTTGTTTCAGACATTCAGAACATTTGCGGAAATAAATGGGACTCATTATGTTCCGGAGGCTGGGGGTGCATTTGATCTCCCTGAGCTTCGCAGACATCCGCATGCATGTACGCGACATGTACGCGCACCCCTCCCAAGGATCCCGGCTGATTTACCTCCAGCGCCACCAATTCCAGTGGTCCATGCAGGCTTCTCCGCGCACCGCGGAGATATGGCGAGCTTTGCTAGGGTTTGGCTGGGACATCCATGGCTCTGTTGTTCGTTCAGGTCCTGGGTTCACATATAAAGACGATTGGAGGACACGGGCCTCCAAAAAGGGCCAGGGTATCAACAGCAGCTAGGATTGATTCCTGAGTTCCTCTTTTTTTTGTCACAATCTTTGAGGCGCCCCTGGCTTGGGCATCTACATTCCGGACATCAGATTGTTCCTTCTCAAGCTTTTGGGCAGTTTTTACACTTGTTTGATTTACCTGCACCCACGGGTTCATTCGCATCGCCAGCTGGGGTGTACGTCGTTCGTCAAGATCTTCTGCGAGTGGAAAGGATGGCGGAATTCGGAAGCCATTCAATGATTTAGGATGTGATAATCAGAAGCGAAGAGAAGCAACAAGATGCGATAGGGATTTGACATGAAATCCTACCATGGCTGGGAACCTCATCTCCATTTCGGGACCGTCAGGCGTTCGGACGGGCAAGAAGCCTCCGGACTTGGATGGCAGCTTGCCACAGAAGCTGCAAGAGATGCAGGAGATGTGGTGGCACGTCACGTGGTCCATCTAAACCCCATGTGATTTGTGTTGTTTTTGGGAGGAAGGTCCTAAGGGAATGTGCCACTTGTGCGGCCATTTCTTTCTGGCTGCGGGGATGTCTGTGGTGCCCGACCGGGCGTGGGTTTCCGCCCGGACGGGGCAGCCACATCAACCAACCGGACGGAGGGGTGCGAGGCCAGAAGTCAGGAAACCAAGAACCGGACGGCAGGTCAATCGATGGCAGATATATGCAGTCTCTTTTGGTGCTGGGTGGGGTGAGTGATGGTGAGTGGGCGTAGCGCCAGGTCAGCTGGGCATTGGAGATCATTTGATTCTCAGGTTCTCATTGGTGCATCGCAAAGAAGTAGATCAGCGGCATTCAGCAGCTGCTCCTTGGAGTGCTTCTCTCCATTAAAACCATGCGTTATCTGAATGATGCACACGTGTCACATTGCTTATCATTGCTTTCACACAGCCTGTCCCTGCAGTGACCGCGGCTCACCAAAGCATCAAAGCAATGCGCATTCGACATGTCCCGGTCACGGAAGCTGACCAGAGGGGCGCAGGCGCACCGTTTTCGCGGGCGTGGCGTCCTGGCGTGATGAGATGGGTTAAGAGCCTAAGACTGACTGCATGGATGGTTTGGGTCTGTCCGTTCTTACCTGTAACAGTCAGTAAACAATTATCATCATGTTTGAAGCATTCACTAACCATCATCATTCACCGTTACAGATATTAGGATAGACCCACTGGATGCCCTTCAACCCCCCTCTTGGGGGCAATGCCCCCGAGCAAAGGTCCGAGCGAAGGTCCTACACTTGAGATCTGCAAAAATCGGGGGGAGAAAGGGTAACTGCGGAAGGGTAACTGCACAGAAGCATGTGAGTCAATCTACGCATCAGTGTGGTCAGAGCCTAACAACCGAAGAGCATGCGAAAATCGCATGCGAAAATCGCATGCGAAAGACATCCGTTGGTGGAGAAGTCCTTCTCATTCCTTGGGGATCCTTGGGGTGTCAACCTTCAGCTCCTGCAGTTATGTCCTCATTGCTTGCCACAGATCTGGTGCCATACTCATCACCGAAGTTCGGGCCCCCCCTGTCCTTTCCCGGGTCGTGTCGCGCAGGGATGGCCCTCGGGGTCTTTCGTCGTTCCGTGGCGCAGGAGTTGCTCCAGCTGGCGAGCCCTCGGAGCTCCTCCTCCGGGTCCGACGACGAGCTGGACTGCCATATTCGAGCGATCGATCCGGCGGAGCCGGATGTCTATCTCGATTGCTGGTGGCAAAAGGGAATGTATAAGATATAAGGACGCGAGGAGTTTTTCCTTAACGAATCAAAGGGGAACATATGAAGGGAGGAGTGGCTTTTATAGTTGGTTTGGTCGGATTCAACTATGACAGTGGCTCCCGCCGCTCCCATAGCCAGTCACTGTGCGTCTTCTGGGTGAGACCCTTTATGAACCTCAATTTGAGTTTATTACTAAATCCATCCAGTTCTTCATGAACCCACCCATCTATGAACCCATCCAGCCCAGCCAGTTCTTATTGAGACCTACCATTTCATCATTTCATTGAAATTCTGGAGGGCATTTATTGGCTGCTGCCTGGTCCATGTGCAACGCCATGAAGGGTTAGATCGTGACCTTTGCGTGGAATGAAGCAAGTCCTGCCTTGCCTTTTGCTCCTAGTGATTTGTTTATATTTGTTTTCAACTAAGGATGCATTTTGGGGTCCATTGTACTTCAAGATGGAGCGGGTGCATAAGGAGGGGAGCTCCCACCCGAGATGCTCGGATTACTTGCTGGTCAGCGTGTTCCTGTTTCTCAATCTCTTTGTGCAGCTGGCCATTGCTTTGCAGCTGGATGATGTCGCGCGGGAGTCTACCAGGGATTTAGGACATCACTTGCTGAAGAGCGCTTGCTGGAGAGTTTCAGATCATCAAGATCTTCAAGGTGTGCTCTACCCATCCGACATGGATGTGAGTGCCGCGGTCTCACTTCGTTTTGCCAACCTGCGCTTGGCCTATCCCGTCAGCGGGATAGATTTATATATCGAAGCTCCAAACAAGTCTAAATGAACATATTCGATGACATTGGTCCTGAAGTGCTTAGGATGTGCTTGATTGGTTCCGGAACCAGGTCTTCATTTGCAGGTGCCCTGCAGTGTGTGCATTGTTTATTGTGCATAAGTTTAACCAGTTCGACTGCGCAGTTCGAGTGACAGTTTCAGGTTGACATGTTCCCGTGTGGTACCAAGTGGGGATGTTTTTGTCAAGACCTAGCGACCATGGAAGTTTGCTAGATAGCATCAGAAGCCAGAAAGCACCTGAGAATAACAGAATAACCAAAGTTTGCGTCCTACCCTCTACATACCTGGTGCATTAATGTACAGTTAGCAGCGATCGCAACTCGCTATCAATTCATGCCTGAAGGAGCCCTTTGACACGGCCATGTGTATAGGTGCCGTGCTCACAGCATCATGAGCCTAAATGCAGGCCGATGTCACATGTTCTAGATATATAGCCTCAGCCTCTAATTACAGACTAGACCTACTCTAAATGGATTAGCCATGGTGGTGGGCCCCAAACAGACAGGTGACTTGATCCCGATCCATACCGCTCTGAGCAGATCCCGACAGTTCACCACACTTTGAGTGTAACGCATCGAAGTGGAACCTGGAGGCGTAAGAGACACCAACAAGCAAGTAGCTGTAGTGGAAGGCTTTGACTGGTAGTACTATGGTACAGCCGAAAAGTAGCCACTTAACTTTTTTTGAAATCTGGGTTGCTCCAATGCAGATCTTTTCCGTTTCAACTGGGTGCAAGATGTGCAAGAACCTATTGTGGAAGTGCAGGAAGTTCAGCAAGCCCTTGCAGGCCCTAAGTTGTTGGCTCTTCCAAGAACTCCTAGGTGATGCTTCGCACTTCGACTTTGATTGTGTCCCACCTATCATGACGTTGTCCATGTTTCCGGAAATGCTGGACCTGAATCGCGATGGCTTCTGGTCGACGGAGGAATGTGAGCAATTGGAATCCCAACTGCAAGGCGAGGGCACGAAGGAACAGGAGGCAACCGAAGTGTCCAGGACCACCGAACAGAGAAGACCATAACAGAGAAGCTCCATTCCCAAGGGGCCTTTCCTCAGAGTGTAGGATCAGTTTTATGAGGTAGCTCCTGGCGGCTCCTAGTAGTAGCACGACCCGTTTTTAGTTGTTTTTCTTGTTTCCCAACCAGGACACTTCCCAGGTCGGATCTTGGACATTCCCAGGTCCCAAACCGTGTAGGATTGTGAGGGAAAAGGCCTGTTCCGGTTGGGAGACACCTGCTCAGCCCGTTTTAACAAAGTGTGGCTTAAGGCAGTGGCCACTTATCACTCACAGACCCTCGCAACCGAGTCGGGCGGCAAACGAGTCGGGCGGAACCTTCCGCCCGGCTTCGGCAGGTTTGGGCAGTGACATGGCGCAGAACATGTCCGACATCCTGGGTCGCATGGTGCTTTTCGACCAGGTGCACCGCATGGGCTCAAGTAGCAGCAATGGCTCACTGGAGCTGGAGTTCTTTCGAGCCTTTCGAGGGCGATTGCAGGCGTGTGTCGGAGCTGAAGTGGAGAATGGTCTTTGGGGTGGGGGAGGGGGAGGGGGAGGGGTGCAGTGTGAGGAATTTGGATTCCTTTGGGCTTCTCGTTTCATCAGAACGTCTCAAACGCATGACTGCCGGAGTACCTGGCCTGGGTGAATGGAGATGAACCGAGTTATTCCCTCCAAGCTGACGCAGGGAACCTTGGAACCTTCACTGCCCGACGGTTCACCGGCAAAGACTCTTGAATGGTCTTCGAACGTGATGAGCACATGTCCAGCAACTTTCAGCCATGTTGTCTTCTTCTTGCTCTTAGTTATCACTTTCATCATGTTATCAACACCCCAAATGTCTTGGGCACCCCCAAGCCATTGGGGAGGGCAGCTGACAGCTGATCTCGGGACCGGGCCGGGCTGGGGTGTTCATCGTTCCAGCCGCCAAGGTTTGACAGTGGATCCCAACTTGTGTGGAAACCTGGAGGCCCGAGGACATTTGCTTCATCTCTTCCCATCCTTGAGAACTGGACATGACCGTGTGGATGGGTGCAAGGCAAACTTCGATGCATTTTGCGCCACTCACACATAATACAGATTGACCAAGTCAAGCGATGTACGAACAGAGTTGGATGCAACTTTGTAGTGGGGGGACAAGCTTACTGGCACCACTAATAATGCCCCACTAAGTACAGTATATGTACAGTATACACCAGGACCTCCAAGGGATGGTTGATGGACACCTCTTAACAGCTAAGGGGCTATAAATATACACGCCTTGGAGGGTCCTGGTATAGTTTCTAGACCATTTCTGCGGGTCACCAAGCAAGGCAAAGATTTTCGGAGGTGACTTCAATTGGATTCATTTCCAGACTGTCCGGCTGTGCGGTGATGCACTCTCCTATCGTGAAAATGGAGTGAACGTGGTGCAATATGGACGAGTAAGGCAATATGAGGGAAAGAGAGATTCGATCCTTGGCCGGACCTTTGCTTCCTTTGTGGTTTTGTTGTCCTTTGTTTGGATCATGTTGATGTTGAGAGAGTTCCGTGACATCTACAACTTCACCTACGTGGTTTGGAGCCTCCCCTCCACGGGGAATGCTGATCCTCACTTTGCCTCCTTCGAGAACGAGAAGTTTCAGATTCTTGAGTTGCCCATGGGTCACAAGATCTTCGCTCTTCTGGGCATTTTGCTTCCAAGGCCGCTCCTCCGGGCTGTCATAATTGACATTGGAACACATCCAGGAAGGGGAGAGGGTGGCACCTGCATCTTAAAAGTTACTCCCGGGAAGATTAACATGGAACCTGGCAATAGACCTTTGGAAGACTATGTTTTTTTGGAACCAACTCTCTTGTTTGCTAGCCTCTCATGTTTCCTCATCCATGACATTCCAAGTGGCACGTGGGCCGGGTGTAGCCTGTCAAGATGTTCAGTGATGTGCTGATGCGCATGACTTGTTGATGATGAATTATCCTTAGCAACATCGTTTTCTCCTGTCTTTCCGGAGGCGAAGCACGAAATGAAAGTTGGCCGGATAGCATAACACACAGAAAGCTCAGCACGCCCGCGAAGGAACGTAATTTCGACACCTGACACCTCCTCACCAAAATGAAGCAAATCAGACTCGGAGCGACCCAATTTCTTGCGGCACGAGTTGTGGCTTGCGGAAAACCTTCAGCTCGGCAATTGGGGAACCAACAGGTGTTGGAAGAGCTTGTTTGCATCGAGGTGTGGGGTTGGGTGTGGTTAGGTTAGGCCACCTTCTAGGTGGTCATATGAACAACATTGAAAAGCAGCAACGATGATCATGCTCAACCACTTGGCTTGCAATTCGAAGGAACTCCTTTGCCTTCCCCTTCAGGTAAAAGGGGTCAAGAGGGGTTCTTCCCCTCAGGTTTATTGTTTGAATCAGTTCCTTTTCAACAAGAAACGTAACAGAACTTTAAAACACAACTTTAGTAGGCCAGACTCGGCCAGACTCCCTGGATATCCTGGGATAGTTTTTGAATGTTTTTGATGAGCATTTTCCTTTATAGGGGCATGTTAACACATCAAGATCCCACAAAAGAACAATTGCACAAGGTTGTTGCGATACTCTATTCGCGTGACGCACGCAGACTCTATTTCCGTGTTTGTTGGCTCCCTCACTTAGAAACCGCTCTGATTTGCTCCAGATTCCTCATCGCCTGCGTGATCGCGTCGGTGGGCACCCGCTTTTTGGCGTCCACTGATAACTTGCATGATATCATTGTGAACAGTACCGCCTTGGGTTTCATCATCGAGGTGCGGGCCAGGTTTGCGGATGTGAAACATCGGCGGTGAAAGCCGGGCCATATATACGGCACCAAAAGTATCCAACAGTACTTACTGTATAAGTTTTCCCCTTTGGGCACACCGATTTAGGGACGTTGAGGGACCTCCAGCTGTCACTTCTTTCAGAACGGAAAGTTGTGGAATCCGCCGTGGCTGGCTGCTGAGCGTTTTGAAAAGCACAAGGGTCATGAGGCCAGCAGTTGAGTGGAAGAGAAGTGGGTCGTGAGCGGTGGTTGTGTCTATCCTTGTGGGCAGATCACGTCAGTGGGTGAAATGGGTGGTCAGCAGGAGTCGGCGGGTCTTTATGTCAACAGGCAAAGCAAGTTGTGAAGCTCAGTTGTCAAAGAACGTTTGGTGAGTAAGTAGCCGCAGCCTTTCACTGGGATTGTTGGAGTTGTTTAATATTATTTGTGGACTGTTTTGGGTTTTGCGCATGGAACGTGATCCTTCGGTCGCAAGTGGACCGCATGATCCGTCGAGGTGGACAACATGATCCATACTGCACTGCTGGGCGATGGCTTCCAGAAGCATGTCATGGACCGGAGCGAGCGGATCCAGGCAAGACCGTCCCGTTGACCACGGGTCGTCATGTCCAGACGATCGGATGAACAACGTCATGTCCAGAAATAGAGGAGGTACTTTAAGAGGTAGCCAAACCAGCCCCCGGTTGAAACGCACAAAAGATGAACACATGTTTTAAACCTAACAAACAATGGTGTGTATAATGTCTTATCCTTTGGGGCTCTAGCTTCATGAAACATTAAAGGGAATAACGTCCAGGTGGAGGCACAAGGATGCGATGCAAGCTGTTTCAGTATACATAGGTGCATAAAGAAGGGATGGCAAGTTGTTCTTCTCCCCGAATGTGATTGCGTAAGAGGTACTGCCTGCACATGAGCACACATTGAGCGAACATTGCATGGCATTTGGCAAATTGTGTTTGAAATGTCGGTCCAAGGCTGAGCGCCCAAAACGTCTCTCGCATTGTCTCGTATGTATACCTTGCCCAGACGCTCCATGTATGCCAAGTATGCCTACATTGACTCCCAAGCCACCCCAATGTAGGCAAATATCTATGTATATATATGATATATATGGAATGTTTGTTTGGGTCTGTAGAGATAAGGACCCTGAAAGCTGAAATCGAATCATTAAGAAGCCACCTTTCTTCACAGGGCCTCAGAGGATCCTTGCTGAAATGATAACCCTTCTGACAGAATTCATCCTCAAAACACACCGCCATTGATCAAGCTTCTCTACCGATGTAGACTTCAAGCCTGCTTCTGATGACGAAGCAGGAAACAGAACATCCGCAAGCAAGGCTCAAAACAAAAATAAACAAAGGTGCCAACCTTCTTAACTTTTACTTGGCATACTTTTCAACTGGTTGCCTTGTTATTTCTTGAAGTTGTTTATTGTATATAATAGGATCTTCCAGGTGTGGGTGTTGCATCGTTTTGCTCTTTGTTCTATTCTTAGTCAATCTCCTTTAAACGAATCCTTTAGTCTTTAACTTAACCTTTAGATATTAATCCTTTAGTTGTTAACCTTCTGTAGCAGTTTCTGTAGCATATTTATCGTCACTGACTCTACAAGGGCGCCCCTCATATCTATTTGTTTTTCAAGGTGAACTCAGAGCCTCGCGGGCACAACGAGCCATATAGTGCGCTTTTGGTAGCCTTGTTGGTCACCGTGGGCTACACACTGTACGCCTATTACAACCCTCAAGGCGTCTCGGAACCGAACAGTGACCCGTTGACTTCGACTTCTGTAAGTGAAATGGGGCCCTTTCAGCAATGGGAAGGGCGTGGCCAGGGAGTTCAAGGTCGTTAGATGCTAGACTACGTTGTGGACAACTCTTTGGAAGCATATTGAAGGTGTGTTGTGCAAAAGGAGTGATTGTTTGTTTGTGCGAGCATAGTTGAGGTGCACCCCAAAGCCAAATAAAGTACGCACCAAAGCTATATGATATCAAGCGGGCTGTGATTTCACAGCACACACGCACCCAACTTGGTGATGAGTTTTGCATTAAAGGAGGTAGATCTCCCAGTTCAACCCCCCTGAAAGAAGGACATTGCTCCAAGGAGGAATCGGCGTGCGGTGACCCTCACTGCTGGTCAGTTGAAGCCCCCTTAGACATCCGCATATAACAGCTCAGACCCACGAACCCGGCGAAACCTTCTAGCGGTCGCTGGACGAGTCGTGGTTTTGTTTCCAACTCGAGGTTTGGAAGCTATTGGTCAGGGTCTGGAGTGCCTGTGCCAGCTGGAGGGCAACTGTTTCAGCCGCCAGTTGCTTTCATGAGACCAGACTGAGACTGCACTGCAGGAAAAAGAACACACACACAAACTGGGTGGCTTGTGGCAGGAAAAATGCATCGTCCGTGGGGTCTATAAGCCCTACGTGGTCAATGGTTTTTTTCATCTGGTCCGGCGACCCAACGAGGTGGACCGGTCTACCTACCTGGATCCGGTTGTGAAGCAAGCGGTGAGTGTCATCAAGCGACAACGGGACACACAATCGTTTGAACATGTTCTTGGAATTCGCCTTGCAACCGTCATCAACACCCTCAAGCACACAGCACCAATGCTTTCTTGGAAAAGAAGAACGTGTGTTTTCCAAGTTGGCTTTAACAAGGATCCAGGTGCCAAGTGTACATTTTGCTGGAACATATTGGACCCACATCCGCTCTTCCGGGAGGCACCTTTGGAGCAATGCTGCGCATGGGATCAAAGTGTGTGTTTGCTACAGCTCAAGCTGATTGGGGCACCTGGACGGTCGGTTGGTTGACATGCTCACACTTTCGCACCGGTGCTGGGCCACAAAGGGAGGTGCAACAAACGAACGCCGAGGATGGCGGCCAAGCAGCCGTTTCTCCCTTTTTCCCGGACTCCCAAATCGAGGCCACAACGGGAACATGTTCGCCCAAAGCTTTCCCATCCGATCAGGGGAACAGATGCCGACTTTCCCTCGAGTACTGAGTAAGACACGGGTAGAGGAATGACAGCCTGGGGTTCGGACGGTTCTGGCCCCACTCAGCCGTGTCCTCGCCTGGGCATTCGCAGCGGTTCGAACAGGAGATCCTTAGCCAACTCATGGCCGGACCTCATTCAGGCGGGAAGATGGTGTGCTGCCAGAAGGGTCCACAGACCTGAACTACCAAAGATAGAGAACTCCGAACCCAAGCACCATCCGAACGGTGGTAGTTGAAGCCCCTTATGACCTTATCTTCAAGACTCTCTAACATCAGTGCTTTTGATTTTGATCTCTTGCTGGACGGTCCAGGTGACTTTACCAGGTTCTTGCCTCCTCAGTCTTTCTTCCCTCACAGTCTTTGATGTGTCTTCAGTGCGAGTTTTCGGGAATGTTGTTGACCTTTTCAAAAGCATCAAATTCAAAACCTTTCAAGATTCAAAATGGACTCTCTTTTTGCTAGAGTTAGGACACCCCAATGCCCAGACGGCTGAAATCATTGAACACATAATCAAAGAAGCACCAAAATCATCAACTCAAGAATCGAATTAGAGTTTAATCTGAGTATACTTTGAGTCTCTCATTTGAGTTGCTTTGGAATCTGAGTTTCTGGTCTTAGTTTTTGTTGAGTAGGTTGCTCTTTGTGTTTTTTTATGTCTTTCATCTTGACCCCTTGCTGTCTTCTTCCTCACGCTTGAAAAAATGCAAGAGGAGTGACCCATTGGTCAGGAATTTCGGTATTCCAGGAGTGTCAGTACTCGCCACACAGCTCTTTTCGACCTTTTGTTCGCAGAGGTCCAAACTGGATTGATTTGCTGCTTGTTTTCTGCAGGTGCGCGCTCCGTGTCTCAATCTGCTTTCAAACTTCCATGGTATCCCCGAGTGACCCCATTGGTCGCCTTGGCCTCGTCCCCGGGCTCGACGTTGGCCAGGTCATCCGGCTTCGTCCACCCTCTCACCCGCGCAGCTCGAGGTGGGGATGCTTCCCACTCCAAACGAACAGTGTGTTCCATGACATGGGTGTTCCATTGGTTTTGCTTTCGTCCCTGAATCAGGTTGAAGGGGGGACTGTGTCATGTGCCATGTCACTCATGTTTCACTACACATTGATTCCAGGTCCATGGTCCATGGTCCCTTCGTTCGAGGTTCACCGGCGCTGTTGGCCCAAATCTGCGGGGTCCAGCGGATCCATTGCTGGCAAAAGAGCACCCATCCGAGACCCCAAGAGCGTGTAGCGAGAGAGATTTATTTCAGCAGAGGTTAGGTTGATGCCGAGTTTGTGGCCGTTTGAACTTGTGGATGGAGTTTGGTATCATTTCGGGGTCTCAGATAGTTCAGATTGTAAGAATGCGCAGAGGACAAGGCAACGATTATAGTTGGGAGGTTTGCTTGTAACTGTTTGTGTTGCAGTCCACTTCCGCTTTTGAGAATGATTTTGCTTGGTTCAGGAGCCTTGGGAGGAGTGACAATCTAACTGTTTAACTCCCTTCTCAAGATTGAAGGGGTGACTCCCTGGTTCCGACCTCAGCCGTTGCCTCGAGCGGCGCCAGGCGCAGAAGTTGCGGCGGACCAGCAGAGGCCGGCTGGATGGGGTTGACATGGGTTGACTACCAATCGTTGCGGCGGGATGCCGTGGCTGGAGGAGGTAATTTACTCGAGAAAGGAGCGACTCTTTGGCAATGCGGCAAGGTGGACAGGGTGGCTGTTACAACAATTTGTTCATATGATTTACCGTGCTGTCATGGCACCTGCACAGTGTGTACATAAGGTTCACTTCTACTATAATTGGTCCTGCCTGCTGGTGTGACTATGCCTACTGGGTCATGAATCCTGGATCATCCTGGATCTAAAATGGGTCCTTGGCCTTGGAAGCTCGACCTGATCCTTCATGAGTTGCTTCCATGCATTTGTTGCAAGAAGATACGAGCATATTTCTGCCAATGATGCACGTTTGGGTGCGCTGAGTCTTGAGCAGCACTGTTGTACAACGCCGTTTGTGCTGGTTTTGTTGTTATTGGTCCGAAGGATTGCCTTTTTGACTCCACTTCCCGTTTTCCTGGGGGCCGAGTCAACTTGGCTTTTGGACCTGGCCGCAGCTTTGGATCCACACCGAATGCGAGAACTCAGACACCACTTCCCTCCGTGTGTTAAAAAACAGCTTCCCCTGCTCGCAGGGGATGGCAGTGACCAGGAGGTCGGAATGGTTCGGGACTGGTGGGTTGTGGATGTCTCAAGACTCATGGTTTGTGGGCTTGACCCATTCCTTTGCTCAGGTTTGTGAAGAGCTACAGTACGTGATATATGTTCTTGCTTACTGCATGTGTGTATAATTGTATGATATTATATATATATACATGTGCTATTTTAAATTTATATGCATTTTGGATATGATATGAGTCAGATATATGATATAGACATAGAGACTTTATCAGATGCATATATCAGATGTTAACACTTAACACTTTTTGTTGATTTGCAGTTTATACTAGAGCATCATCATGTGCTATGGGCCAGTGTATCATGTAGAGCTTTGCTTCCTTAAACATCCTTAAACAACAATTCCCCAAGGTTTAAAACGGGACTTCTGCAAAAGCCCTCCTGCAATTTGTTCCCATCTTTGTTGAGTGGAGCGTTGAACAGTCACATCGAATTGACCTGCAAACACCTGAATCACCTGGCCCTGGCAATACAACTTTGAACCGTGCATGGTCCATGGTGACTTTTTGGTGACCTTGGTGGTTGCGGGCTTATATAAGTGGCATTGTTGGAATAATTGCCTTTGGACACCATGGTCGGACATGGTGGCCCCACTTTTGTTTCACATGTTCCGTGTTTCCTGGCTGTCTCTCCACTGGCTGTGGCAGCCCCTGGGCACGGCGCCAGGACCGGAGGATCTCTGTGTCGCCGCGAACACGGCACGTGAGGGTCGTCCAGGGACGCGCAGTGCCCAATGAGGAGAGAGCACGAGAGTGGAGGATCTTCGCCCATTGGGGCCCCTGAATTCGTTGCCAGGGGGACCTCCCCAACGACCAGTGTACACCCAGCCAGGGCCAGCGGGTCTCCCTATGAAATGCACACCCATTTGCTTCCCGTAACGTTCTACTTGATGGTGCCCCGACTCCAGCATTTGCCGCGCTACCACGGGTGGTGGTCCTGGGGTGGTCCGAACTCCATGGTCCACCTGTTGGGCCGGACGGTGTCCGTGCTCCGCGGACTGGCGGACTCCACCCGACTCAGTGGACTGAAGAACCTTGATTCGGGGGAGGCGTCTCCCAGACATCGAATTCACCCAAAACCAGGTGGAACAAGGAATAGCATACCGCATACCCTCCATTTTCCAACACGCATTGGGAGCGACAGCACCATTTTTCCTCACACGCCGCAGCTCCGGTCCAGCGCTCCTCAGGAGCTCCCTCGAGGGCGAGTGCTGCAAGCCGGCAGGGCGCCGGTGGACCGGAGCTCGCATAGCGTGGATCGACGCGTGAGCGAGACGGAGCTGCTTGGAGATGGAGCTGCTTGGGAGGAGGGAGGTGGATGTCTCTGAATGTCTCTGATGGTGTGCTGCTAGCATGCTGCTAGTGAAAGAGAGGAGCTGGGACGTGGACAGTGAATCTGAAGTTCGTTGTTTGGAGTTTGGGGAAGTTTGGGGAGACTCACGCTGTGGCAGGGATGTATTTATATATGATTGTTCATGATAATTCCTCTCACAGGTATTCCTGGGTTCCACGTTAACTTCAGCCCCGGAGCCCTGGTTTGAGAATCAGAAGGGTCTTTGAACCCTTTGAGGTTTTTATATTGGAGTGCTTAGTACCAGAAGAACGGATTGTCTGTCATTTGAACAGCCACGATTTGGTGGCTTCCAGGGCTGGACCGCCCGCCCGACCGGTGGGAGCCTCCTATTGCGCGGGGATAGGAAGCAAATCTATCCAAGAGTTGGACATGAACAAACACTATCAACACCCATGGAGCTCACTGAAGATGGCAGCCCGGAGATCCTATCCGTCGGGAGTCGACTCTATGTCAAGCCATCAAGCAAACACACAGGCAACTTAGGTGCCATCCACTCAAGTCAAGCTCTGCAGGCGTCCCTCAGGGCCTCAGGGGTTGTGAAACCACCCCACCCCAAGCAGCTCTGAATTCAACGCCACCGGTGCTCAGGGTTTAACGACGCGATCGAGATATCGCAGGTGCGGGGCTTGGTACGAAGGAGGAGGGCAGATGAGGGCAGAGGGCCACAGAATCCATGGCACTGGCATATTTACCTACATTAAGTGGGGTGGTTGAAAAAGGGTTCATGGCTTGGGTGGCCAATCTCTTGGGATTTCTCAGACTGTTGCCGATTACATGCAGGTGCCAAGTGGTTTTCATCATTCGTCATGTTGCCCAACTCACTGGGTCAGTTCTCGGGCGTTTGAAAAGCAACAATGATCATCAACAGCCATAGAGGCGTGATCATGCTTGGTGTTCAACTGTTGATCATGCTTGGTGTTTGTGGTCCTCATGATTATTTTGATCATGTTTCTCAAACAGGGATCAACAGGGTGGGGCAATAGGTCATCGAGTGTTTTCGATCACCGAAGCCCTGAACATGCCAAGGACATGGCTGAGGAGCAGAGTTTGAAGCTGTGTGGGTCAACGTCCTGGATTTGGTGGAAAACATTTGGTCAGAGCGAAAGCACTGAAGCCGTTTGAAGGTTACTGTATATAACTCATCTCAACCCCCACCCAACCACATTGGGGCCCACAACAAAAACCACCTGGGCAACCAACCAGCAAAAACAAGGGTGTGGGCTTGCGCACCTGTGCCTTTGACCCAGTTGCTTTGGTGTTTCACGAAAGAGACACGGTTGCTGGCGTCACGCGATGAAGTCGGTGGGGCCAACGACATAATGCTGGCTGAAGCAGCACATGGGACGAACAGAGGATCCTATTGGCACGGAGAGGGTCAAAAAGGAGAGCCAAGAGGTTGCCAGCAAAGGGTTTCATTCAAATCATTACATTACTCACTACTCATAGATCGATCAATACTCCTGACTGATGTTAATGGTTATATAAAGGACTTCTGGCAGTTCTGAGCACCGGTCCCAACCGTTTCCAGTGATACACCGGTCATCCAAGGATTCCTAACCCATGAAAGAAACCGGTTGCCAGAGGCTTAGATCAGTGGTGAGCCGAACTCGGGGGAAGCTGCTGCGCTGCTTCAGTCAGAGAGAACGCTGGGGCGCAGATGAAGGCCTCAGCTGGCCAGTCCTCCGTGAAACGGAGAGTTTTGAAGTAATAACCAGGCGCGCGCCACTTGTGGCAGCATGGCAGACTGGCACAGACTTGAGGTCGGATCTATCACACACAACACACGCAACACACACATGCAGGTGAGTTGATCCCTGTAAGGGTTTTTTCACATCGACCGGCATGGCCAGTTCACTCCTTCTTGCTGGATGTGCTTGATGTTTTCTATAGGAGACCCGATTCAATCGGCCACCACCCGTCCCTGGGACGGTGAGCCAAACTAAGCTGATTCACATGGTGACGTGGTGGGTTTAGTCCGAGAAGCGGATCTTTCACCAAAACAAAACACAGATACCTGCAAATACCTGCAACAATTATGGAAGCTGACCAGGGCCTCCGGTTTCACTTCCATTATGTTGCCCAAGTCATACGGAGCACAGGATAAATTCCACCCCGTCTCAGAAGTCCTAATCCATGGGCACACCTACACTCGAAGAATCACCCCCGAAAAGGAAACTCCCGATGCATGTTTGACATGTCAAATGCAGACAAAGGATTGGTCGAGTGAAGCGACATGGTTGTGCGATGTTGTGGGACAGCCTGGGGCAGCCCAGGATTTCTGAACATGTTCAGCGGTGTTGAGATGTAGCTGTTATATAGCTAATAGATGTCCCAGAATGAATAGCAACGACCTGTTTAAAGGCGATGTACTTTTGAAGGTTTTCAATTTGAAGGAGATGTGTCAGGGGCTTCCATTTCCATGGTTTATGTCTATCAGTTTTTCCATTTTGCCGTGTTGCTTGCCAGGATTGCTTGATAATTAGACATAGCCTGGGCTATGCCGCTTTATAGTGGCCAAGGTCGGCATTGTTTGCCTTTCTGGAGCGGTCGGTCGGTGGGCTTGGACCAGGGTACTATGGAAGTAGGTCGACTCGCTTTGATGTATTATTTGAGGGTGTATTTTTCTCAGAAGACGTATTTTTTTTGCAAAGGTCAACTTCTGAGCAGACCATGTTCTTCTTTGGTTTCCATAATGGCCTTGATTCAGACTGAGTTGAGTTTCAGGAAGCACCCGTTCTGAAGATCAGCGAAGATCTTAAAACCCACACCTCCAAAACCAATGGCTTTTCACCATGAAAATGACCAACGGCCTCGGGGCCACTGTAGAGCCCTTCGAGAACGTGAACGTGCACCCAACGCGTCGAACGCACGGTGCTCGATCGGTGAAAAAGCGCAACGCCCGGACGTGGCGCGCGGCCCGCGCCGGACGTGGAGCTCGAAGCAAGCTTCCCCAGGAACCGAGTGATTGGGAGAAGAACCGGGTGGGGTGGGAGATTCAAAAGGTTGAGCATGGTTTAGCACAGTTGAGCGATCCCGATCAAAACACACACACACACCAGAAGGTCCATTATGAACTATGTACATGCAAGGTCAGGCGAATACTTATACATTGGGTCTGTCCTATTACCTGCAACAGCCAGTAAACAAGGCCTTTACTAAGCATCATCATCCACTGTTACAGGTATTAGGATAGACCCAACTTATACATGTTCCTGGGTTGGCATTCGGATTCGTCCACGTTCCTCTTTAGCTCTCAAAGGCTTTGAGGAGATTCCCCTCTTTGAGAAACGCCATGTTTTGGTGTCAAGATAGGATTGCTAGGGGTATCACCCTACGGGTTCGACAAAGATGGGGATTGCTTGAATGCAATTGGAAATCAACCCTCTCCCTACCACAGAATGCAACATATAATCATATATATATATAATCATATATAGTTTAAACATATACATATATATACAAATACTATAGGTGTTCACTATGCATTTTGCCTCCTCCTCCTCAGCCAAGGCTGCCCTTTTAGCGGAGGGATTCGGTTTTGTGGTGCGAAGCGGTTCCTGTCAGGGCCTTGGTGTTTACGTGAAGGACCTCACGGAAGAGGCACTGAGACGTTCAAGACAAGCGGAGGGATGGAGCAGTTAAACCCGAAACCTGTTCCACAAGCGTTTTTGACATATCATGTGTACTGTATTTATTTATCTATGTATCTCTTTGTTTTTTTCTATCTATCTTTCTTTCTATCTATCTATCTATTTGCCTATTTGCCTACCTACCTACCTACCTACCTACCTACCTACCTACCTACCTACCT